ATAACAATATAAATTATTTTATAAAAATAATGAAAAAATAATTCATTAATACACCATAAAATAATTATTTTAATATATTTTCTCATAGTTTTTGAATCAAATATATGGAGTTGTAAATAATATCAATTTTATGTATATATAATTTTAAAAATATAACTAACAAATAATTTTTTTTATAAAATTCAGTGTAAAAATACGGGCACCATTTGCATTAGTTATAACTTTGTTATTCAGTTATTATTGTTGTATATTCATTATACATAATTTTATAATAAAAACAAATTATTTTAATTTTCTTATTATACAAATATTAAGATATTAAGTACTCGTGTAGTACACGGATATTATACTAGATATATTCATTCAAAACATGTTGAGCCTAAATGATAGACTCTCACGCTTCGGATGTTGACATGACGAAAATCTATGTTTCGTAATGTTGTTTATATATTCTTTTTTGCTGTTGAGTTAGACTTGATATTAAACCAAAATAAATTTCTTCAAACTTGATAAAATGGTAAGTGTATATTTAATTTGGTTATTTTTTTTCTCTTAGTAGACATTTTATTTTTAGTTTGAGCAAGTAGCAATCTTACCATATTTCTCTCATAAATTAGGATTTATAAATCACTTTCTACACTGTTTATTCTTCTTATTTTTCAAATCAATTAGACCATCAAAATTTTTAAATAAAAAATTTATTTTAGCAATAATTTTTATCATATATTTCCTAACAACATCCAAAATACACCTTTTTTTAGTAAGTGCAAACTCCAAGAATTAAGAAAGTAAAAGAAGTAGAATTAAGATAATGATGATGATGATGATAATAGAAAAAAGGCTACAATCCCGTCACATAATGATTTTCTGAGGGTTTTTAGCCATTAAATATACAGATAGTGTAGATACATAGAAGTTACATATTTATCTAATGACTACACTCTTACGGAATCATTCCGTGACGGGATCGCAGTCTTTTTCAATAAGTGAAAAGGAAACTGAAATTAGTTGAATAGCTATGGACCAAAGGAGGTCTATTCAACATCATTGAATTTTGATAGTAAATCTCATTATTCCTCAGAATAATCCAAAGTATGAGTTTTAAGTCACAGCCTCTCATCAGTCACAGGCATTATATTGAACAAATTAGTAGCCAATGGCATTGGGACACATCACAAAAAAAAGGGCCTTTTTCCTTTTCTTTTTTTCTCCTTTCCTCTTTTTAATAATGTCAGGTGACATGTGATTAATCTGAAGGAAATGGCTCTATACTATATAGGAAAAAATAAATTGAAATCACAAGCTGTCAATTTCTATATATGATATACATATCCAATTCAATTAAATATGTACCTTCTTGGTGTGTGTCAAATAGAGAAAAAATAAAATAAAAACAATAAAATTGAAACCTTGCAAAAAAAAAAAAAAAATCACAACTCACAAGTAGCGTCGAGATTAAATTGATACATGATTCGATTCGTGTTCCTCGCAGTTATTTACGAAAACATAAATCAATCGAAACTTCAAGATCGACTGATGGTTCAAAAATGATTTAGTGATTTTTTTTAAACCGTAGGATCAACACACACTCATGTAGATACGTGTGCGTTTTGATTTAACGATAAATAAAAACCTGCAGTCAACTTTTCATATTACTATGTTTGGACAACAAGAAAATGTTGAACCCAAGGGTGGTTGCATTCAAATTAAATCATTTAATTAATTGCATTTCTCAAAAAACAGTAAATTAAGTAAAAAAAAAATAATAAAAAAGGTGGAATCAAGAATTTTAGTTGCCCATGTTTTGACCAAGTCAACCACTATATTTATAGCCATCTCTATTTTTATTGAAATGGATAAAATTATTTATTAAGCAATAAGCAGTAATAATTGTAGTAAGGATGCAGAAAATGGGATGGCTTTCCAATTTTTTAGTATAAGTTTTCTTTTTGCAGAGAGAGTTGTGGATTTTTGCAGGGAATACAGTCAACAAGGCACTGTTTTTTTTTTTTTTTTTTTTTATTCTCAATTTTATCAGTATAATTAAAAATTTTAAATCAATAATACACATTTTTTCAAAAAATAAGAAATTCATAAAATCAAGTATTTTAATTAACAATTACATATATATTATTATTGTAGTATCAATTTAAATCATTTATAATTTATTTTATCTGTTTTCACAAACTTGAATTAATCTATTTTCCAACCCATTTTTTTTTTTTTTTTTTTAATTTTCATTTCTCAGACCAATTGGTCCTTGGTGGTGCTCTAAGAAGGCAAATGGGAAAATAAATAACTTTTTTCCCCCCTTTAAATTAGGCCATTGTGCATGTCTAGCCATCTCCAACTGAACATTTTTAGTATTTTATTTTTTTCTTCTCTATTGAAAGTAATAAATATAACTGCAAAATTAAAATTTAAAATCTAGTTAAATTGTTATAAAAATGTGATTATGCATCTCTCTAAGATGTGTAGAAAAGAAGACAAAAATATGATGCCACAAATTTGAGTAGTTTGGGTTCAAATATATTTTATTGTTTTATAAGAAAAAAGACAAGGAGAACATAAATAAACATTGATATTTACTGAAAATTTTAAAAACATTGATGTATGGTACTTCTACAATCATTTGCCTAAATTTTTATTTCATAATTATCCAAGGCAAATAAATTAAATTTTAAACCATAACTATGTAATTGTAACTCATTTCTCTTCATATAGGTAAAGATTACATAAAATATATAAAAAAAAAAGATTTTATTTTATTTTATTTTAAAAAAGTAAAATTCAACTGCAATCTCCTCACACACTATAGCTCCATGCCCACTTTTCTCTCTGACTTTGTAAGTTTGAACCATTACCATCCCTCTCTTTTTAAAATGATGCCTCCTTTTCTCCCCTCTCCAAATCTCCTTCCCATATAAAACCACATCTTTAACACACACAACACAACACAACACAAAACAAAGAACAAAACACAAACTATGCCATTATTCCAAACCCAAAAAAATAAAAATATATATAAAAAAAAATGTCCACTCCTAAAAACCCTTCACCACCCAAAACCCGAGCTCGAGTATCAGAAGCTTCAGCATCATCAGTCGACGAATTCGACGACTACATAGACATCGAGTTGATTACGAGCCCGAAAGCCAAACCCGAATTCGAGTTCCAAACGGGTCGCGACCCGTCCGCTTTCCCGGCCGACGACCTCTTCTACAACGGCAAGCTCCTCCCCCTCCTCCTCCCGTCCCGCCGCCAAATGCTCCACCACCTCTCCTCCTCCGCTGGCGGCGGAGGTGGGGCCCACCACCACCACCACTCTGCCCCACCAACCGACACCCTCAACACCCCGACCGAGTCGTGCCGAGTCAGCTGCGAACTCAACCCGGACGACTACTTTTTCCATTGGTCCACAGACCTCAACAGCAACAGCAACAACAACAACAAAAACAACAAAAACGTTAATAATGTTAATTATTACTACTCTCACTTGAGCCGGAAAAACCTCGCGTGGCCCAAAAAACTCGGCCGGAAGCTAAAAGCCTATTTGAAGCCGATCTTCACCGCCCGATCGGCCGACGACTCGAATTCTTCTCGGGAAATCGCGAACGAGCACGTTATAAACAACAACGCGGCGAAAACAACAACACCCAAAACAATAGCTTCTATAATGAAGGGCACTGAACTTAAAGATGGGGTCGAGGAGGATAATCATAGGAGGTCGTTTTCGAGGGCGATTAAACGGCATTCTCCCGTTAAGTGTTTGTCTTCTTCGTCTTCGTCCTCTGCATCTTCTTCATCTTCTTCTTCGTCTGTTTCGAACAACTCGAGCGGTTCTAACGGGCTCGGGAGGAGTAGCAGCGCAACCGAGATCGAGGGCTCGATCGAGGCAGCCATTGCTCATTGCAAGAGGACTTTCGAAGGTCTCGGTTCATCGGGTAAATCGGAGACAGGGGTTCTTGCATTCTCTGTTTCAAGAGATGATGTTGAAGGTTGTAAGAGAACAGGTGCTTGTAGCATTTGATGTTATTTTTATTTTTATTTTTATTTTTCCCATTTTTGTTTTGAATGATGTAAGAAAGTTTGAATCTTGGCAGCTATATGTGAAAAAATTGCTGGAGATTTTAGCAATACAGTTTGTTTTGCAATTCTTTCAGATTTTAAGTGTGTAGTTAATTACTGTTTAAAAGATTAGTTAAAGGAACTGAATTTAACCCAAGAGCGCTTGGATGAAATGGTTTGAGTCTCTTTCACCTTAACCAGTGGTCTTGTGTTCGAGCCCTGGGAATGCAGCAGTGTTAAAAACTCTTGAGGGAGAGCTTTGTCGCTCTTGTGGTCCTACCCGGTTCGATTCCAGATTAGTCGGTTCCCATGTGGATCTGGAAACCAGAAAGTCCATGTACCAAAAAAAAAAAAAGGAACTGAATTTAATAAGTAGTCCAAGCTTGTGATGAAAAGAAGGGAGAAGACTACAAAATGAAGGACTTTTTCCCACACACCTGATAATGCCCAACTTTTCAGTAAAGTGGGACTCAGACTTTTGCAGTTTTCCTCTTGCATGAATGCCATTTGATTCTCTCTAAAATTATTTTATTATTATTATTATTATTATTATTATTATTACACAAGATTTTTGTATGAAATAATAGTCGTTAGTTTAGTCGACCCGTCATAATTTTTTTAAATAAAGATAAATATTTTATGCAAAATGTCATACTTTATTATTTTGTTCTTTGAAATATGAAATGTCAGCATGAAATATGTATATTTGTCAGTGTTTTAAAGGTCGCTAGGCGTTCATTAGGCGCTCGACCAGCGCCTAGCCGCGCCTCTTCCTAGGCGACGCCTATAAATCAATATTAAGTACCTTATTTTTTATTTGTTTTAACTACCTACAAAATAAAACTATCTTAATTTATAATAAATCGACACACCTAAGTCCAAATAATATTTTCAAGAAATCATGAGAACAAAATAATGCAATTACTACTAAAAAAATAAAAAGAAAAAACTTAAAAATTGTCGTCGAGCCCGCCTAGGAGCGCCTAGGGCCGCTTGGCCAATTTTTTCTGCCGATTTGTGCAAATCGGAGGTGCCTGGGCACCGCCTAGCGCCTAGATGCCGCCTAGGCTGATTTTTAGAACAATGATATTATTTGTTAAAAAAGTATTGATATATAATTGTTAGATTAATCTATATACCAGATTTTGATATGAAGATGAAGAGCGAAGATGAATCGCTTAGAGAGAGAAAGGGAAAAAACTTGTATATTGATAATATCTGAATGAATTGTTTGTACAGTGATACTTGGTATTTATACCAAGGGTTTTGGATACAAAAGTGTTAAAGAAAAGGAATGATAAAAACGTGTGTTTTATACTTACAACACTTAATACATAAAAACAATACTAAAGCTAATTATATTCTAACACCCCCCTCAAGAGGGGCATGGATGTTTAACATGCCCATCTTGCAAATGTTTTCTTTAAAAAGTTGAATCCCCAGGGGCTTGGTAAATATGTCAGCAACTTGGTCTTTAGAAGGAACAAACTTCAGATCGATAGTGCCTTTGGAAAGCTTCTCTCACAAGGTGGCAGTCAATCTCAATATGTTTTGTCCTTTCATGTTGAACCGGGTTGTTGGCAATAGCTAAAGCAGACTTACTATCTGAAAAAATAACCACATGACAGTTATGAGAAATCTGCAGATCATGGAGTAAATAAATCAACCATTGTGCCTTACAAGTGGCTGTAGCCAAAGCCCTATATTCAGATTCTGCAGATGATCTACTAACTGTGGATTGCTTTTTAGATTTCCAGGAGATTAAAGAGGAACCAAGGAAAAAGGCATAACCTGTGATGCTTTTTCTAGTGTCCAGGCATCCAGCCCAGTCACTATCACTAAAGCCATGTAATAATAAAGAAGATTCTCTAGGGTAGAAAATACCTTGGCCAACTGTGGATTTGAGATACCTTAGCACTCTGTGAGCTGCACTGAGGTGCTGCTGTGTAGGTGCAGACATGTGTTGACTCAAAGCTTGAATGGAAAAAGATAAGTCTGGTCTGGTAATTGTAAGATAAAGTAATCTACCAACAAGTTTTCTATAAGAAGTAGCATCAACAAGTTCAGATTCATCAGAATAACTAGAAGTCAATTTCAAGTTTGAATCCATAGGAGAATTGGCAGGTTTTGAACCAAGGAAACCAGTGTCAGTTAAAATGTCCAATGCATATTTTCTTTGACATAGATTAATGCCCTTTTCAGAATGTGCAACTTCAATACCAAGCATATATTTCAACTGACCTAGATCCTTAATGGTAAAGCATGCATCAAGATGATTTTTAATAGAATTGATTTCAGACATATCATTTCCAGCAAGAATGATGTCATCCACATATACTAATAAAGCAGTAAATGAACCAGAGGATGATTTGATGAATAAACTACAATTAGCAGAGGATTGAACATAACCAAAATCAAGTAAACAAGTTGTAAGTTTTTGAAACCACTGTCTTGAAGCCTGTTTAAGGCCATACAAACTTTTAACAAGCTTACAAACTTTATTTGATTGTTGAGTAATGTATCCAGGGGGAGGGGTCATGTAAATGTCTTCATCTAAGTCACCATGTAGAAAAGCATTATTTACATCTAATTGTTGAAGAAACCAATTATTAACAGAGGCAATGGCTAATAAGACTCTTACAGTTGTAATCTTTGCCACAGGTGAAAATGTGTAAAAGAAATCAATACCTGCTTCTTGTGTGTAGCCCTTGGCAACTAATCTTGCCTTGTACCTGCCTAGAGAACCATTAGAGTTATACTTGACTTTATACACCCATTTGCAACCAATACAGTTTTTACCAGGGGGCAAGTCAGTTAATATCCAGGTATTAGTAGCCTCTAAAGCATTAAGTTCTTTAGACATACCTTCTAACCAGTTTGGATCTTTGGCAGCTTGCTTGTAAGTCTTAGGTTCAGGTATTGTTGTGATGGATGCAGTGAAACAAGTATGCATGTCACTTAACCTTTCAGTGGTTAAGTGTTTTTGAATAGGGTGAATAGATGTACTAGGAATGACAATCTGTGCATCAGTAAAGAAAAGATTTGAAGAATGGGGAATGGAATGTTGGTATATATTAAGATAAGAAGGTGGCTTTTTAGGTCTGGTAGACTTTCTGACTACTACTGGATTTGTGGGTTGAGATGAGAAGGAGAATGTTGTGGTTGAGGTGTAGGATTCATAGGGGGTGAATGTTGGGGAGATTGGGGTACAGAATTCAAAGGAGAAGAATGTGATTGAGTATTGGTTGTTGTGGTAGAGTGATGTATGGGGCTGTCATAAGTAACAGAAGATGGCTGTGGAAACATGAAGTCTGATGTATGGGGAGTAGAAGTATGATTAGTTTTATTTCAGTTTCATGTTTATTACCGGCTTGAGGTTGAGGTTATGTATTGTAATATCCCGAGATATTATCAGTATAAATTACGTTTAATTCCGATATAGTAACGTTATCGTTTATTATTTTCGGAATTAAATAAGTTCAGTCGGGATTACCGAAAT